CTGGCTTTCCACATGTTGAAGACAAACTAGACCCAAGCCTATCACCATGTGCCAAAATAAAGTCAAAATGGATCAAAGATCTAAACATTAAAACAGAAGCACTAGATCTAATGGAAGAGAGAGTAGGTGGAAGTCTTGAAGACATATAGGGGTAGGTAGAGAGTTCATGAACAAAAACCAAACTGCACAGGAAATACTTCAAAGAATCAACTGGGATCTCATCTTATTGATAAGTTTTTGTACATCAAAAGAAATCAGCAAGGTGAAAAGAAAACCCACGATTTGGGAAAAAATGTTAGCCAACTGCTCTTCAGACAAAGGACTCCTGTCTAGAACATATAAACAATTTTAAAAAATCAGGCCCCCAAAATTCAAAGACCTGATACAAAAATGGGCATCTGAGTTGAATACACCCTTCTCACATGAAGAAATACTAATGGCAAATAAATACATGAAAAAATGTTCACCATCATTAGTCGTTCGAGAAATGCAAATTAAAACAACACTGAGATTCCATCTCACCACAGAAAGAATGGCTATCATCAAGAAATCAACCCATAACAGATGCTGGAGGTGCTGTGGGAAAAAAGGAACTCTTCTCCACTGTTGGTGGGAGTGTAGACTGGTGCACATACTGTGATAATCAGTCTGGAGATTCCTCAGTAAAATAGGATTAGAGGTGCCATTCAACCCAGCTATTCCCCTCCTGGGTATTTTTCCAGAAAAACTGAAAACATCATACCACAGCGATACATGTGCACCCATGTTTATAGCAGCACAATTTGTCATAGCTAAATCTTGGAAACAACCCAGATGTCCATCAACTAAGGAATGGATAAAAAAAGATGTATTTTTATACAATGGCGTATTACTCAGCTATAAAGAAGGATAAACTAGAGACTTTTATAGATAAATGGACACAACTAGAGACCATACTCATTAGTGAAATAAATCAGTTTCACATGTGTAAACATTGCATTTCCTCCCTAGTATAAGAACCTGAAAGAGTAAATAAAATCTGAAAGGTACAATAGATACTGTGAAAGGGAAAAGACACTGCTCAAAGAGGAAGGAGCAACTGGGATTAAGGAGGGGAGAGGAAGAAGAAAGAGGAAAAAATATGTATATACAGGACAGCTAGGATAATTGTACTACTAATATCTGTTGGTTTATTGAAAGTAACTGTTAATGTCTAATTATTTGATCAATCCTGCATGCCTATATCTGGTTATATGTGCAGCCATTTTGAAGATGACATTAGGTGATGTAATAACTATTGTTAATATCCTATCACCATGTTTTTAAATTCTGTATCACGTTTATTGTTCTCTATGCTGTTTTTTTTTTTTTTT